TGAGCTGCTGTTTTCCAAGATTCATTTGTGAGTCTTATTAGTTGAACTTTTCCTTTCCTTTACATGTGCTGGCAATTTTAAAAAATACATGAAAAAACTAACCCGTTATAAGAGAGATTTTGTAATCATTTGATCTTAGAATAGTTGAAATTTTAAAGAAACTACTTGTTTTTATTGATATATTTATAATAAAAATTTTAAATTACATCAGTAAATGTAATTTTACCTCATAAGGCCTACATATTAAAGGTTAGATGTTTTATAAAACTAAAAAAATGGAATTTTGGTGTACATACACAATAGAATAGCATTCTCATCCTCTTTTCATAGGGCTCAAGTCTCTGAGACCTATGTTAGTGCAACTTCCTCTTTGAGTCTCCCAAAGAGGAATCAAAAGAGCTGTGCTTAGAGTATCATGCTTCACTCAACTGAGAGAAGGAATCCGGAGTTCCCACCTCTGTCAACGATCGAAGATCAGGGTTGCTGCCTCTTTTGCCAAGTCGTTGAAAATCATATGGGGTGGACACATAATGCGATTTGGGGATGACCATTGGACTAGTACCGTTACCAACTGGATTCCATGGAACATCAAAAGAGAAGGGAGCACCAAATAAAGGGTGTTGGAAGGTTCCTCTCAGGATGGGAAATGCATGATGAGTGTAGACTATAGATCGAACAAGATTTCCACTCAATGTCTCTTTTGCAAACCACAGCACTCAAAAGGAGAGGGATGACAAAAGGGAATGCCTTGCCACAGCGGTAGGGTGGGATGGGGGTAGGGGGGTGGGAGGGATACTGGGACTGGTGGTGATGGAGAATGGGCACTGGTGGAGGGATGGGTATTTGATCATTGTATAACTGAAACCCAAGCACAAAAAGTTGTAAGTCTACAACTGTACCTCATGGTGTTTCACTAATAAAAATTTAAGAACAAAAAAGAACACCTGGCCGCCCACCTATAAGATGTTCGGACTTCTTCACCAAGACCCTGAATGAACTGTTTCATGCTCTTTGTGTTTCTGGAGCAGGCAGATGCCACTGGGCTACACTAGCCCATGACAGGGACGAATGAAGACGTTACTGGCACCTGCTCCAGCAAATCAATGTGCAACAGGATGACAAATGATACAAGTGATACACAATAGAATACTACTAAGCTATAAGAAAAAAATTAAATCATGAAATTTGCTGTCATGTGGATAGATTTGGAGAATACTATGATGAATAGAGTTCAAAGGAGAAGGATAGAGACAGAATGATCTCTCACACCTGTGAATATGAAGAATAATTGTAGGGGAATAATGAAAACCCACAGACCATAGAAACTGAGTTGTCTTCAGTAAAAAGCTTGCCATGAAGACTGGAGAAAAGTGAGGGACCCTGGGGCAATAGTGGAGGGAATAATGAATGCTGGGGCAATAGTGGACATCTGGGTGGAAGGTGTGTGCTGGAATAACTCATGTATGAAACCTTACTAATAGTTTGTAAAACACATTGCCCCCCCCCAAAAAAAAAAAGTGAAACAAAGCAACAAAACTCCTAGAGTTATTGGATGAAAGCAATTCTGTTGTATAGTACTGGAGGTAAGATACTAGCCTTGCATATGACTGAAATAGTGACCTGGTTCAAATCCCAGGCACATATGGCACCCTGAGAACAACCAGGGGTAACTTGATTAGCACAGAGCTAGGAATAGCCCCTGAGCGCTGCCAGATGTCACCCAGAAAACTTTTGGTCACAGAAGGGCACTGAAACTTTGGTGATGGGTGTAGCAAATACGATTAACAGACAGGGGCATGAAGCTAACTCCCTGAAAATTCTACACTATTGTAAACCAGTCATAAATCAATCACTTGATCACTTGACTTGCTGACATCCGTTACTCATCTATTTGCTCGAGCGGACGCCAGTAGCGTCTCCATTTGTCCCTGTCATGTGCTAGTGTAGCCCAGTGGCATCCGCTCATTCTAGGAACACGAAGTGCCTCGAACTGATCGTTCAGGGTCTTGATGAAGAAGTCTGACCATCTTGTAGGAGGGCGGCCACTCGATCTTTTGATGTCCTATGGAATCCAGCCAGTAACGGCTCTAGTCCAGCGGTTGTCTCCAAATCTCATTACGTGTCCAACCCATCTGATTTTCGACATCTTGGCAAACGAGACAGCATCCCTGATTCTTTTTTTTATGGAATAATATGGATTTTTATTAATGATTATCTTATTCATGTTTTTATTTTTTTACTTTTTTAAAAATTTTTATTAGTGAAACACCATGAGGTACAGTTGTAGACTTACAAATTTTTGTGCTTGGGTTTCAATTATACAATGATCAAAATACCCATCCCTCCACCAGTGCCCATTTCCCACCACCACAGGTCCCAGTATCCCTCCCACTGCCCATCCCCCCATCCCACCCTGCCTCTGTGGCAGGGCATTCCCTTTTGTTCTCTCTCCTTTTGGGTGTTGTGGTTTGCAAAAGAGGCATTGAGTGGCAATCATGTTTGGTTTATAGTCTACTTTCAGCATGCTTCTCCCATCCTGGGAGGATCCTCCCAACACCCCTTATTTGGTGCTCCCTTCTCTATCTGAGCTGCCTTTTCCCCTAGCATATGTGGCTGGCCTCCAAGCCATGGAGTAAACCTCCTGGTACTAATCTCTGCTATTCTTGGGTATTAGTCTCCTATTTTGTTACTTTATGTTCCCCAGATGAATACAATCTTTCTATGTCTATCCCTCTCTTTCTGACTCATTTTGCTTAGCATGATACTTTCCATGTAGTACCACTTGTATGTAAATTTCATGACTTCATCTTTTCTAACAGCTACATAGTACTCCATTGTGTACATGTACCAAAGTTTCTTTTACCAGTCATCTGTTCTAGGGCACTCCGGTTTTTTCCAGATTATGGCTATTGTAAAGAGTGCTCCAATGAACAAACAGGTGCAGATGTCATTTCAACTATACTTTTTTGCCTCTCTGGGATATATTCCCAGGAGTGATATTGCTGGGTCAAATGGGAGCTCAATTTCTAATTTTGGGAGAATCGTCCATGCTGTTTTCCAAAAGGGTTGAACTAGTCAGCATTCCCACCAGCAGTGAAGGAGGGTCCCTTTCTCACCACATCCACGCCAGCACCGGTTGCTTTTGTTCTTTTGCATGTGGGCCAGTCTTTGTGGTATGAGATGATATGTCATTGTGGTTTTGATCTGCATCTCCCTGATGATTAATGATGTAGAGCATTTTCTCATGTGCCTTTTTGCCATTTGGATTTCTTCTTTGAGAAAGTTTCTGTTAATTTTCTTGCCCCATTTTTTATGGGGTTGAATGTTTTCTTCTTGTGAAGTTCAACCAGTACTTTATATATCCTTGATATCAACCCCTTGTCGCATGTGTATTTGGCGAATATCCTTTCCCATTCTGTAGAACTGTCTTTGTATTTTCGTCACTGTTTCTTTTGAGGTGCAGAAGCGTCTTAGTTTATGATAGTCCCATTTGTCTATCTCTGTTTTCGCTTGCTTGGACAGTGGCGTGACATCTTTGAAGATACCATTAGCTTCAATGTCATGGAGGGTTCTGCCAACTTTGTCTTCAATGTACCTTATGGATTCCGGTCTGATGTTGAGGTCTTTAATCCATTTTGATCTTATTTTTGTACATGGTGTTAGACAGAGATCTGAGCCCAGTTTTTGCATGTAGCCATCCAGTCTTGCCAGCACAATTTGTTAAAGAGGCTTTCCTTACTCCACTTCACATTTCTTTCTCCTTTATCAAAGATTAGATGATCATATGTTTGAGGGGAGATGTCAGTATATTCAACCCTGTTCCATTGGTCTGAAGCTCTGCCTTTGTTCCAGTACCATGCTGTTTTAATTATTACTGCTTTGTAGTAGAGTTTGAAGTTGATCACTTGACATCCCGTTACTCATCGATTTGCTCTAGCGGGCACCAGTAACGTCTCCATTCGTCCCTGTTGCATGCTAGTGTAGCCCAATGGCTACACTAGCCTCAAAACGATAGTTCAGGGTCTTGACGAAGAAGTCTGACCATCTTGTAGGTGGGCGGCCACATGATCTTTTGATGTCCCATGGAATCCAGTCGGTAATGGCTCTAGTCCAGCAGTTGTCTCAAAATCTCATTACGTGTCCAGCCCATCTGACTTTCGATGCTTTGGGAAATGAGACAGTGTCCCTGATTCTTGATCGCCGATGGAGGTCAGAACTCCGGATTCTTTCTCTCATTTGAGTGAACCATGATACTCCAAGTATGACTATTTCGATTCCTCTATAGGAGACCCGAATAGCGTTCTCATCCTGTTTTTGTAGGGCCCAGGTCTCTGAGGCTTATGTTAATACAGGAAGAACAGTGGAATCAAAGAGATGTGCCCAGAGCTGGAGATTCTTCACCCTCTTAGCTATTTTTTCGATGCTCTTGAAGGCGTTCCAAGCTGCTCTCTTCCTCCTGCGCAACTCAGGTGCCAGGTCATTCATCATGTTGTCTTATTGACCTAGGTACACATAACTGCTGCATTCAGAGATGTTCATTCTATTGAGAGAGAATGGAACATCAGGAACAAGACTGTTTCTCATAAACGTTGTCTTCATGAGATTCATCTGTAGTCTGACCTTTCCACACTCATGGCCGAAGTCTGCCAGCATTTGTGCCACTTAACTAATGTTTGGTGTTATTAGAACGATGTCATCAGCAAAGCAGTGGTGGTGTAGTTGCTGATGGTCTATCTTCACTCCCATTCCTTCCCATTCTAGCCATCGCATGATGTTCTCGAAGGTGGCACTGAAGAGTTTCGGTGAAATGATATCACCCTGCCAAACCCCTTTCTTGACATGGATGATCACTTCCTTGTAGAATGGTGAGATCCTGGTAGTGAATCCATAATACAGCTCACGGAAGATCCTGATGTATTGAGTTTGAACGCCCTGTTTGGCTAGGGCTTCAATGACCACTTCAGTCTCAACAGAATCAAAGACCTTCTTCAAATCAACAAGCTTGCTTTGGCAACACATATACAAAATTGGAATGATACAGAGGAGATTAGCATAGGCCCTGTGCAAGGATGACATAAATCAATATATGATTAAAATGCAATGTGAGATCTATGAATTGGACTTTTATCTTTAAAAAAATATTGAGATCCCTAAAAAGAGAGTTTCAATGCTGACCAACATCTAAAGTGGCCTTCATTATAATTCCTGTGGCATGGAACTTGCCTTGCAGGAAGTTTTCAGGGGTGCTGGAGAAAAAAGGTACCCTTTTTCTCTTGATCCCATCCTCTGATAGTCTTTGCCAAACACCTATGGTTACTGAAGAAATAAAAACAAATGGAATGCTCTGGGCAGAGTGCCTGACTTTGGTAGGTATTTAACAAATGCTGATTCCTTCTTGCCCACCATAGGGAGTTCACTGACCTTTGAAGTTTCTGACTCCTGTTTCTGTGGCTTCAGAGTCAAACTTTGACACTGTTGGCCATCAATTCTAAGAACTGATATTTGGCCTAAGTTCTGCCAAAAGACTTCCCCAACTTGCAAAATGGTAGTGTTTGCATTTGATTTATCCAAAGGGGATGCCCCAAGGGGTTTGGTTCCTGGCATTCTTAAAGAGTGGGTGGGTGGTTTTATGCTGCCCTCTCTCAGACCTGTCCTGAGTGTATATATAATAAGAAACCTTCGTAATCTAATATTTATACATTGCCTTAGCATCTCACAAAACCACACGCTTGGTCTTGTGTTTGGTCTTGGTAAGGGAAGTAAGAAGTGGGGCAAGTGTAACAGTCTCCATTTTAGAGTTGTGCAAATTGAACCTCAGTGATGTGCGTATGCTCATCTAGGGGGGTGGCTTGGGGTCAATGAGAACTTAAGGTTTTTAGAACTTAGGTTTTGTGACTACACCTCTAGAACTTTATTTATGTAAAGGGACATTATGGTGGATGAGCAAGACAAACAGTTTCCTCCTCTTTAACTGAGATGATAGCAACACACTCTAAAGACATATCATTAGTGGGTGGTTTGTATGTTGCATGAGAGCTGCCGGTGGCCACTGTTCCTACAGCTGCTGCGGGTTCTGCCTACATCCCCTGCATTGCCCCACAAGAACTGCCTGTGAAAGAGCCACGCACTCTCTCCAGGAGGAATCCTGCAGCAGTGAGCATCCCACACGCGGGGACGAGGCAGGCCACATGAACTCCAGTTCGCCTAGGGAGTGGGCTGAGCTGTGGGAACTGAGCGACTGCTCCCCGTCTCTTTCTGCTCAGTCTTCTTCCTTCACAATACACAAGTTTGGATCCCCAACAAATGCCCCATTAATCTTGCCAAGTTCTGTGCCAGAACTCCTTTGTCAGGTAGGCAGAAAGCCCCAGAGTAAACAAATTCACAGAAAACTATCTCCACAGAGGCCAGGGAGAGAAGGGACAGATCTACTTAGGCATACAGCCCTTGTTTTTGCCACAAACCAATCAGGACCTTCTGAGGTCTGAGTCCATAGCCTTGACCCTATCCCTGGAACCTGCCAGCGGGGCAATATTTAGGTCTGGAACAACCCTAGACTCTGGGCTGTTCTGTTCCTGGACAAGGTCCACTATGTTGCAAACTTCTAAAATGGGACACAGATCTGTTATTATACATTTCTGTTACCATATACTCTGTGGTTTATAGCTCAGTCTGTCCAGGAATTCCAACCCACACTGAGACCTCCCTGGTTTGCATGTGTTTATTTTCCCAGAGAGAAGCTTCAGAAAAGGATTGCTTCAGAAAAGGAAGCAATCCCAGGTGACTGACATTTGAGGTAGGCCTTTCTAGGGCTTTTTACCCTGTGATATAAATCTGAGAATAGATACATCCTTCAGATCAAGCAGGTTTTTTTGGAAATGGCTGAGACACCACAGTTATCATCAAAACCCTGATTCTCCTTCCCTAGATAAGCATACAACAGAAGAGGGAAAACACAAATTGAAGTGTTGCTAGCCTGCCCACTACGCCAAATAGATTGCTATCCTGATTCTTCCTTGTTGAAATTCTGGAGCCCCCAACTCAAGCTCAATCCCAGGCAGTCCAAGATTTAGAAGTCACAGTTCTTGATACCTGTAGGTTTCTCCCGTTTCTTTTCCTTTGAATGCTGTTCTTGGACTCTGATAACTGGTTTATAATTTCCCAAGTTCCCTTTATTTTTCTCTCTCTCTCTCTCTCTCTCTCTCTCTCTCTCTCTCTCTCTCTCTCTCTCTCCCCTTCTCTGGGCTTGCCTTCCTTCTTTCTTTCCTATCTGTCCTTTTTCTCCCCTGACCCTACCCCCAAATCTAGGTGGGATGTCCTTGCTTTTAACTCCCACAGAACCTGTGCTTCTTTTATCTATGCTTGTAGCACTTTGAGACACTTTGCTGGAGTTGTGCAGAATGGCAAACAAGGACCTGAGAACCAAGGCCCACAAACCCACTCAACATTCCTTTGTACTTCAGGGTCTAACACTTCACAGCAACTGTGGGAGTAAAGCTTTCTGGAGCAAATGTGCATTTGGTTATTTCATGTTTGTGTGGTAGTTGATATGGTTGAAACTGTCTTTTTCTCTGTCTTTGACTGAACAACTCCTCTACAATTTGGTTGCTGTGACAGCAAAAGGAAGTGCCCCTATTCCTTCAGATTCAGTTGGAACCATACTAGAGGATTTGGGCTCTTCTGACTCAGACCCTGTGCCTCATACTCTATGACCCAAAATAAAGGAAGATGGTTGGACAATGAAAGGGAGACAAAAACTGATGAGCATAACTGAAACCATGGACTCACATCCGGGAGCTTAGTGATCTGGAACGTACTATATGAATATAGGAAGTTATTCCTCCCATATGCCAACCACTATCTAGATGGAGTCATTCCCTTGGTATTTTCATATTTTCACTATTTTCCCAGAGAGAAGCTTCAGAAAAGGAAGCAATCCCAGGTGACTGACATTTCATCAGTCCCTTGGATTCCTGTCATTGAATATCTGACTATTTGAGAAATAATCAAGTTTGATGGCAAGAGACATTAAGGACTGAGGTAGATTTAGCTACAAAGAAAGAGTTTGTGAGACTGTGACAGGAAATGTAGCCAAACTTCTGAGACACTCTAGTTGGGAACAGGAAGGTGGCAAGAAATGAAGGCAGTCAAAGGATGTCATTTCTGCGTGTTTCAATCTGCATTCCCCCAGACCTGCTTTCTCTGTTTCTCCATGCACCCATGGAAAAGGGCCACTGGTAAGCTTATGAATTCTGAAGTCTTGATTGGAGAACAATGGAATGCAGCCTGGATGTTTGGCTCTAGTTCTTTATTCCAGGCAGTGGTATGGTCTGAAACACTTCAAATGACTAGCCTCTGGAGTTGGAATGGTGGTAATGGGGTTTGTTCCCAGAACATGAGTTGAACATCTACATATTTTCACCTTCATTAACATGAGCTTGTATGTATATTTCCATGTAGAGCATTTATGAAAATTACTCTTGAAAGTCTCATGAATCTACAGAAATGAGGATGGGGTTGAGGAACTTACCAGTCTCTCTGAGGCAGATTGTGTATTGAGTCAGGGATACAGTAGAGTAAACAGATATGGTACCCACAGTCACCAGCCTTGGGGGGCAGATTTTGCACAGAGCATCACAGAAGAACAGTGCCCAAGTTAAAATATCCAGGGGAGGATTGTAAATGTATGTTTGGTAGGTTGATTGATTTCAGTAGTAGAATGTGGTGAGAATTCATTCTTTAAGTGTATCTGTGTAATTTTTGAGGTAACATAGTTTAGAATCGCTTTAGGGGGACAATGTTATGGCATTTCATCCACAACCATGATGCCAATAGACCTTCAGCACTGTCCCCAGGAGGACACAGACCAGAAGGGAGAGTGACTGTTCAATGTTATAGAACAAAGGGTGGGAGTGTACCAGTTCAGGAAAAAGCTTATGTCAGGGTCGTGTGGCAGAAGGAAATTGAATTTGAATTTGAGGACTCCAAAGAAGACAGATCTATGAGATTAGAATCAGGGAATCAGGGTCATTGCTTTATAAACTGAGCCTAAAGTCAAGTCAGGAAGATGCTCACATGCCCTGTGAAACTTCATTTAAGACTATGGCAGCTGTGCCAGGTTTCAGAATGGTGAGCTTTATGCAAATAGATACCATCTGTTTTCAAAACTTAGACCATTGCTCTGACTTCAAGGGTTCTCTGGGTGCCTCTACCTGGCTTCAGAGAAAGGGTCTACTGGGGTTCCGGTACTGAGTCTAGTCATGGGACCAGACTTCTGCTCCCAAAGCAGAACTTCTGTCAGGGGACTGAGGTCTTTGTCAGGGGATCTGGGCTCAAAAATTTATCACCCCATCTGCTGCTCATCCATTACTCACACCTGCCTGTGCTCAAATCCATCCCCTGACTCTGACTGGTAACCCGCTAATCATCTCTTCTCTCACCCCTGACTAGATTGGGCCTCTAGCTTCTGGGAAAACAGTCTCACTCACACACAGTGAGAATAATTGCTAATCCTTGAGCAATGCTTCCTCTGTTGTAAACACCTGAGGTTTCTTAGCTCAGTCCTCACGAGGTGAACAACAGTCTGCCTCTCACTTTGCAGGTTTTCCTTGGTCACATGGTTGTGATCTCTGAGACCAGGATCAGAACCTCTAGGCATGGAAAGCTGCCCCTCAGAGAGGTCCACCTGCCCCAACAAAGAGGCACCCCAGGGTGGTGAGGTGGGCACAATGCACAGTTTCCTCCTGCCAACTTTGCAGGTTTACAACATCAAGTTCCTGATTCTTTACTAAATAGGCGTTTCTCTAGAGAAGGTACTTCAGAAATTCCCACTCAGGCTTCGCGGCCCTGGCATTTGAGCCGACGTGTTGAGGCTGAAGGTATGAGGAAGTGAAGGTTCATGGGAAGTCCCTGTGGCCACTAGACCCAGGAAAGGTCACCCTCCCCTCCCCTGCACCCTGCGTACCTCCCAATCTAGTTTAGGCCCTAAGGTTCAGCAAAGGGACCCCGGGAGCAAGTTCAGGTCCCAAAGACAGGGCAGAAGAAAATTAAAGGTACTCCCAGACCTTTGAGGAAGGAGCCTTCCTGTGGGCAAGGGTAGCCTGCCCT